AATGACAATGGTGCTCTTAGTTAGCTTTCATATATAAAACATTCAAAACGGAAGTGTTGTCTTTGTTTCAAAAATGCAATCTTTCGTGAAATTATTGTTATTATTATCATTATCATTATTGATCAGTTACGTCGGTAATGATGAAATAACGGGATGTAGGTGGGTTGATGAAAGAATAACATTAAAAGACCTCTCTCGTCTCAGTGGTTGTGTTATCTTGAGGTTTTTCTACTCGTAATTGTTGATCAGGCACATAGACCTATCTAAACGCTCGCAGCTGTCCTCTTCTTTCCGCGGGTTCAACGAGATATAATCGCACGATCTGCTTTTCGTGTNCTCACTGGGGACCTGTCACCATTTCCCACAATCTATCTGGTAAGCGGAAAGAAACTGTGAAGCGTAATTCGATAGCTGCGGTTTGTAACTTCATGATCATCATCAACGAGGAATTTATATATCCTGGTGTATAACCCGGACTAAGGTAGATCTTGGACAAGTGGGATACGAACGCGCAAAGGTTGGTACTAATTCCTTCAGTGATCGAGTGCCATTGAAACGAGATGGGATTAGTGGGCATTGTGCCAAAGTTACTGACGTGAAACCTCACGTAGTAGCTACGTGTAGAGCGATAAAGCCAGGTTAAAGCTACGAATCATTATTAGCCAGAGAGATTAAGAGTTGCTGAACGGGGACATGTACTGAACATCAGCGAATCCCAACTGAGGGGGCTTCATGAAAATCAGGTCTTGTGATTCCATTTAACTAAACTTTGGGATTGGTGAGTCCGATTCCAGTCGGTTACCCATATTTGTACGTGGGTAAACCAATTGATAAGTCAAACGATGAGTACCTTCTAACACCCCAAATCTCAAAGTATCCATGGCATAACTTGTACTCGTTTATCTTTCCTGGATAAATATATAAAGTTGTATCAACAGTCTGGTTGAGTACCATAGGGCATGTTTTTGCCTTCAAGAACCGGGACCTTGAGCCACCAAAAATTGAATAGCCTTCGTTACACGGTATTATTTTATGCTTCAAATACTGTAAATGGAAATCGGAGTGTTTGCGGTTTTGTAATCATATTCATCGATCGACGTATTGAATTCGTCGGGATACATATTCAATGGATTCAGCAAGTGGTACGTGGTTTAATAAACTCCAAGTAGGCTTTGTTGAACACTAAAATTTGGTGAAACATGTCACTTGATAATGGTCATTTTTCCTGGACCAACACAACGCAGTGTGGTGTGCTAGGTGGTGACAATACAAACCGATAAGTAGACAATAATGATATTCGAGAAGACAATGTGTCAAGTCAATTTGTTTGTAATCCAGACCTTGGTCCCTCCCTATTCACGCTTTCTCCCGAGGCCATAAACTCACTTGATTTGCATCCAGACCCCAAAACTCCAACTCCTCCTCAAACAGTGGTCCGCACACATCTGTCGGATAGTGCAATTTCCCCGTGCGGTAGTAGTTCAGTATCTGACCGAACACGCCAGGATGTCGATCGAAAAAGTATTCGTTCAGTATAGGATCGTAGTTGGCCAACGCCTCTGTGAGTCGTGAAAGCCGTGTGGCTGGAATCTTTTTCAATGTGGCCTTATAAGTCTCGTGCCGTATACCACCAACGTTCAGAATTACACGATTCTCGGAATCCATGATGTGGTGTGTGTGTGTGTGTAACGTGCTGGTGACTAGGTAGATGTGGAAAGGGCCAAGTGGAAAGAGGATTGATTAGGCGAGATCGATGGAATTCAACTATCCGGCGTTAGCGGCATACAGACCAAACTGATCGACGTCAACTGGTAGCGATTATCGAACTCTTCAGATTAGTGCCCGTTTACGTTCCTCTGAAGTCGTTTTGTTTTCTGAATTGGATAGGAAGGATGAGATGGAACAATAGTGAGACAGAATTAAAATGAAACATGGTTTGTAAAGCTTCGGTGTTAAAAGTAATGATCTGCGTATAAAAATTTGAATCCCACTACCACCACCACCACCATCGCTACTACCGTCATCTTCACCACTACCACCAAACACCACCACTGGCACCGCCAAATGACTTTCACTGTCCTCTCTCTGTGTTGTATGCAACCCTGGACAGGTTTCCCGCTCCTGGAATTTTTTTCATTGTTTATTCAACAATTGAAAGTAAAACCAGGTCACACAATATCGACTTCAGAGTGGAAGCTACATTCGGCCATCCCGGAGAGGTACGGAAACGCTTGGTGATTTGCCCGTTTGAAGCATGTTATTCTGTGTTTAGTTGCAGTTCATCTACGGGAAAATTACTGTAAATACCAGATGCACATATTTGCGTTCGCACGGCCACATGTTTCTGGTGTATCCACACAAAAGTAATAGACTCGTCTTTTACTTTTCCCAAGCAATCTCACGAGTATCAAGGTAAGGTGGCTTCTAGTTCGACTGCGGTTAGAGACATAACGGGGGAACATATTACTAACCAATCCCAGTAAAATTATAACGGTTATCTGTGGCCCTAATCCGATACCGTAATGATAAATTCCATTCAGGTAAAAGGCTATTCATTACTGTTTCCAATACTTAACGGCATTTGGTTTTCAGCTAGAGTTATTATTGTATACAGAGAGTGAGAACTTCAACCGAACAATTTATAATCCACCACGGTTAGTCCAGAATTAATAAAGGATTCCCGTCGAATTAATGATAATGATGATTTGTAGTCTCCTTAGGACGGATCTTGCAAGCAATGGATGTGCTAGCCGAGTTTCAATCAGAACGTATTTGCCAATAGAGGATACCAGTAACCTACAGATTCACGGGGCCAGAAAAATCGGTAATTCGTACGGATACCCTAATCTGTATTGAAAAAAAAAGAATTTCGCATAGACGAATTTTTTGACGGTACTGAAGTGGTCTTCGTCAGAACATTCTTTTGAGGATAGCAAAGTATCGTTGGATCAACGGTGACCTGAACCTGGGAATTCATTAAAAGCTTTTCCGAGTAACAACTTGAAAGTTTTCATGTTGTGATCCATCCACGTTTTTGTGCATTAAGATCGCAGCGTGAATATCGTTCATCTTATGCAAAAAAATAAGCGAATAAACCAAAAGCAGAAATAAAACAACCGTTGATGAGTCCCTTGACACACAGACACACACGTACTACTTATATCGTCTGCATCTGGCCCATCAGCCTCTCGCATCATGCGAATATCCGACGCGTGTGAATGCACTCAAACCAGGCAATAAATCAAAATATGTTATTTTCATGCTGCATAGAATAGTGGATTGTCTGACAGAAATGTGACAGTACCGTGTACTTTTGGTGAGTTAACAGGGTGCTGTGATCGGCCCAATGGAATGGCGAACTTCTAGCACATAATACTGACTAGTGAGACATCCAGGTATTGTCCATCAGTTCAATCTGACCACTGCCCATTTGGTTAGACAACCGCATAACTAAGCGATCGGTGTCCTGATGAACTGTTCTGCACTCAACTGCTCGAAGAAGTGAACTGACAATGGCAGATGCAATAGTTTGTGCACACAAACAAACAAACGTTTTGCAGTCAGAGTATGCAGCACTTGGAACACCCTAACCATCTCACGTCGTTTGTGCACTATTGAATCTTTCAAGCGAACACTCGATGAAACTTTGTTATCCCACACTTTCCCACACCACTAAGAGCAAAAGCAAATTCGTTGAAGCCCACATTCTCTACTACCTCCTACCTGGAACCCTGTGTGCATTGTTTTTCTCTCGCCTAGAAACAAATCCACTGTGTAAATATCCCGTGGGGACAAGGGGAGCATGAGTTTGTAAGCAATTTTGATAATGAAACATTTACTTTTACTTTGAGATCC